TTTTTTTTTTTTTTTTTTTTTTTTTTTTTTTTTTTTTTTTTTAAGGTTTCAAAGCATATTAAGTTGAATATGTATTAATCTACTAATGAAAAAGAAAGACAAGGGGAATAAACCTTGCAATGTACATTTCCAAAACAAAAATAAATTAATTCTAACATGTGAATATTTTTCTTTTTCATTTCATACAAAATTCTTGCCAAATAATTAAAAAAATTACAGTTTACCAAATATATGTAAATAAATAATAACAAAAAATTTATTAAGATTAAATTTATTGGAAAACTTAAGGTATTTACTTTATATTCGTAACGGTATTAATTCATGTTCATGATTTTTTTGCCGTAGTTTTGCAATTTTGAACCAAACTTACAGAACAAAGGAAATCCTTGGTTAAATCTTACGACAAATTCACTTTCATGGAGGACATCAGAATTGAAACAAACTCACATTTGCTTTACATTGGTAGAAAAAAAACATGAAAATACTCCATGGTTAGCTCGAGGGCAAGATCATACGCAACCACGGCATGATACCTCTTCCACTTGAGGCATTGTATCTTACTGTAACTTGAGGTATTGTATCTTGAGGTATTGTATCCACTTGAGTTATTGTAACTCTTGTCAGAGCAAACAGAGAGCAGTATACGAATTACCATGGAAATTCGAATCCGAGTCTCGTCAATAGGAAGTGAAATCACTTATCATATAAGCTACATCGGCTCTAGAATATTTATTATTTAAGTTCTAAAAAACAATGGAAAACAAATTTATTATAAATTTTTTTATAATGTAATGTAAACGCGCTATATGCCAATTAAAGGAGTTGTTGAGCAGTTTTGTCATTCACACAATTTTGGAGAAAGCGGTGTCTATAATAATACAAAAAACTAACAAATAAATCAATAAAATTCGGCTTAATAGAAGCTTATTTTTGTCGGGTTGACTTTTTTTTATTTTTAAAAAAAATATTTTCTCGACAGGAGGGTGAACTTTTCCGACGAGAGCAGTGATTACAATCTTGATTTACATGTCCATTTTGTTAATCA